GAGCACTCTTACACTGTTAGTGGGAATTCAAACTGGTGCAGCCACTTTGGAAAACAGCACGGAGCATTCTCAAGAAATTAAAAATAAATCTACCCTATGACCCAGCAATTGCATTACTGGTTATTTACCCCAAAGACACAAATGTAGTGAAATGAAGGGGTACCTGCACCCCAATGTTTATCAACATCAACATGGATGGAACTGGAGGGTATATGGGACTAGAGGGTATAAGTAAAATAAGTCATTGGAGGAAGACAATTCTCATATGGTTTCACTCATATGTGAAATATAAGAAATAGTGCAGAGGACCATAAAGGAAGGCAGGGAAAAATGAATGAGAAAAAAAGAGGGAGAGACAAATCATGAGAGGCTCTTAACTCTGAGAAACAAACTGAAGAGGAGGTCAGTGGGGGTTGGGGTCACTGGGTGATGGGCATTAAGAGGGGAACATGATATGATGAGCACTGAGTGTTATATTAAACTGATGAATTATTGAAAATTGCATCTAAAACTAATGATGTACTATATGTTGGCTTATTGAATTTAAATTAAAAAATAAAATTTAAATAACTTGTATGCAAAACAAAAAATTATTTTTGTGATTAAAAACAAAGCTTTCTCAAAATTTGTCACTAGAAATTATTTATGCCAGATGCCATGCTAGGACTACTAATTACATGAGCATGTTCCATGCCCTCTATGAAATGATATTTTAGTGGGAGATACAAGGAAGTAAAGTAGTAATGATGCAGTACTATGATAAGTCAAAAGCAGATTTGTTCTGAAATGATGTTCTCAATATTCATTCACTTTATAATTCATTTAGTAAATATTTGTTGTATATAAACTGAGTTTGCTACTGCTCATGAGAATATTGAAAAATAAGAAATAGTCTTTACCCTAGAGCAACTTACAGTTTACTGAATATCATCTTACCAAGTCCTTATGATTATCAACTTAGAGTATAGAAAATATGATCTAGAAACTGGAAGGTTTAAAATTTATGGTTTTGTTATTCGAAAGAAAGTTGTAGATCAATGGCATGCACAGATTTAATATCCTTGATGTAAGGATTTAAACACTGTAAACTATGGCCCAGTTGTGAGGGTAACTGTAACCTACAAATTGAAAGAAAGCAACTCACTAATGCTGACCTATAAAACGGGGGTGGTCAAGAGGAGGAGTCTAGCTTTGTAAGATTTGACTGACCTGAAGAAAAAGTGAGCAGTCTAGAAAGATGATGGTTCTTGTTCATTAATCAGAAGTCATATATAACTTACACAGTAGAGGGTTGGAATTATAGGTAGCTTTGATCCAAGATAAGATTTCTTCCACCAAAATGATCATAAAGGTAATGATGAGATTGGTGATGATAATAGCTGATATCTATTTACAACTTACTCCATGTCAAGAATCATGCAAAATATATTGCATATACTCTAAATTATCTTTCATCATAGCAAAGGTTATAACTATTTATGGCTCTACTTTACAGATTCAGAAACTGAATCTCAGTGACTATAATTTGTTGACATGGGCTTTCAGCATCTAGCTTGCTGTCTGGCAGAGAAAATGTACGTAGAGAGAAGCCATATGGAGTCTAACAAAGCTGAGACCTTAAGAGAAAGGCAGAGTGTGTATGGAATAATTTAAGCACCTGGAATCAACTGTGTGTAAAGCTAGATCCCCCTCTTAATCACCTCTATTTGAGGTCACTGTCATTTCTTTCTGGTTTAAGCAAGTTTGACTCAGTGTTATGTACCAGGCTATCAAATGAGGTCTAGTACAAATAGTTGGATATTCACAATCTTCTTGAGATGTAGCCCTCACTGATGATAATTTTTTTCCTTGACTGGTTAAATTTAGGAAATCTTTGATACAAGGATCACTGGAATCTCGGGCTGCCCTTGAAACACTCTTCAATGAAACACAGTTCTCTCACATACTTTAATGGTACTAATATACCACAGTCTTTGATTTTGCACAGTAGTGCACTGTTATAAGACATTTCAGACTGTCTCAGAGCTAAGGTACATGCGGCCTAAGGCTGCATTCTGAGAGTGGCACCAAAGCTAATTTGTAGACAAAGGTAAATGCTCCAAATATTAATAACTCAGAGGTAAAGATATACCAACTTCTCAGTAAAATCGGATTATGAAACTTATTATTCAAAACCGTATCTAGGCCAATGTCTGCCAAAGTTCATTTTACAAAATAGTTTGTGAGATAAGACAGAGAAGGGACTGTCTGACCTTATGAGTCCTGCTCTACCTACCTAGTACCTAGCATAGTAACTAACACCTTGCAGCATATAATAAATACTGAATGGATAATGTGCGATCTCACAGGGATTTTTAGGAGAAAAGAGTCTGGGTCAGATATGGAAACACTACAAATAATTGTATTTGTAGGTCATCCCAGAAGAATGCCTGGCCAAGGTGAGTGAGAACTACATCTACGTAGTGCTTTGTCAGTGGCCTATGAACTGTGAATCTTTAAAATGATGGATATAATACAAGATAGATCTTAAATTCTATGCAACTAGACACTTGTTCCCCTTAAACCTCAGAAGAAACATGGAATTAAACAGCTTGTTTTCAGAGAGGTCATGGTTACAGAGAGGGGACAGATGGTAGAAGAAAGAGTATTGCCAGCCACTCTTTTTTTCTAAATAATGAGACTTTTGCTGGTGTTGTCTCAGGAGAAATTCTACTCTATTAGATTTACCTGTCAATGACTTTTTAAGAAGTCATGAAGGCATGAAGGAAGGATACACCTCAGTGTTCATGTCTCTTTCTTTCTGCTTCATGAAGCAAAAGAGCAACACCATATCTTTTCATGACTCTTCCTTCCATCACACAGGCCAGTCATGTTTCCAGCGACCACCAGGAAAACACCAGCCCCTAGATTCTAGTAGTGTACCTCTTCATTTTGTTCCTTTAGGGAATGATGGCCACTTCCCACTGTTGCTCATCCTGGACTGCTTCACCATCCTCTGTTGCCTTCTGTGCTCCACCACCACCTATGTAACCAATTCCTTTCACTATATTCCTTCTGTTGGAGACTCTTAAGAGCATTTTACTTTCTTTTCAATTGAATAGCAACTAACAAATTTAATTCCACTGTATGCATTTTTTAAGATAATTTGTGAACATGCATTTTAGAAACCTAGGGAAGACTTTTTCTTGTTTATAATAGAATAAAACAAGACTCAAACATCATAAAGCAGGAAAAGGCATGAGCTCTATCCTCAAAGTCTTTCCCACTTCTTTCTGAAGTACATTTCCTAATGACACATGAAGAAAGAAGCATTATTCAACTGAGTAGAGTGAATAAGCTTTAATTCAATGTGCTACATTGGGGGTATCTCCTCTTTTCCAAGGAAAACTATACATAGTAACCAGTTTAAACTGGAACCCATGAAAAGTATGTAAATGACACAAACTTCTGATTGGACAGAAAGAAAACCAAGTCTTATTGCTCACAGTATTATCCAATCCAAGATACATTGTCCTGGATGATTTTTGGACAATGTTTCCCTCATATCTTTGGCATACTCTTTTTAAAAAGATTTATTTATCTATTTTTGAGAGGGAGGGTAGGGGCAAAGAGAAAGAGGGAGAGAATCTCAAGCAAACTCCACCTGAGCATAGAAACTGACATCTCATGACCCTGAGATTGTGACCTGAGCTGAAACCATGAGTCAGATGCTTTACTGACTGTGCCACCCAGCTGCCTCTTCCCGTGTATACTCTTAAGACAAAGACAAAATAATAAGCCCCCATATATGTGAATAGAGACTGGAACTCTAAAGACATATGCACCAAACATGTGGTTGTTCTCATTGCTCAGTCCAAACTAAGGTTAGTAAGTAGGGCATACCTGCAGGCCAAGATAGCTACAATGCAGGAGAAACTACCAAGTCATCAATCAAATCAGTTCTACAAATAGCCTCTAGAGATGGTGAAAGATTATGTCAACCACTACTTTCTGAAGGTTGATTCAGGACCTTTGGCTAATAAAGAAAGTCAAATATGTTCTTTAACATTGTAAAAATGAGAAGCAACATCATTCAAATAAGTACAACGACTTTTGTATTTCTTAGGAATGGTATTTTCCTTGCCTCGTGGATATATTTCTGTTCCAACTAGCTTTGGTCTCTTCTTTAGGTCTTAGTGTTACTGCTGGACAAACATATCTTGTGTCTTCCTATGGAGTTTACTCTTGTGATATTTTCCTTCAAATATCTGAGGTTAGTTTCCTTACCAGTTAGGATCCTTAGAAAAGTAAGTAAATTTTAAAACAACAAAATCTAGGCCTATAATCTAGACTCACAAACCACAGTGTTAAAATCAATTCCAACAAGCTTTAACCATTTACATAATAAGGACAAAATTGTATCAACTCAATCCCATAAGTGTTTTTCTTTCTTCTTTTTTTTAATTTAAATTCAATTTAGTAAACATATACTGTATTATTAGTTTCAGGGGTAGAATTTAGTGATTCACGAGTTGCATAGACACCCAGTGCACTTTACATCAAGCGCCCTCCTTAATACCCATCACCCATTTATCCTGTCCCCCACCAGTCATCTGTCATTTTAGTGCATTACCACTTATTATTTCCTCAATCCTTAGCATCTAAGGAATGTCTTAAAAATGTTTTAATGCCTGTGACAGAGACACATCACCTACCTGTGTCATTTCAGTGGACATCAGCCTGATATGCAACTCCCAGACCTGCTTTTCTTTGCCTGTGGTTTTTTAAAATATTTTATTTATTCATGAGAGACACAGAAAGAGGCAGAGACACAGGCAGAGGGAGAAGCAGACTCCCTGCAGGGAGCCTGATGCAGGACTTGATCCCAGGACCTCAGGATCATGACCTGACCCAAAGGCAGATGCACAACTACTGAGCCACCCAGGTGCCCTTTGCCTGCGTTTTTTTTTTTTTTTTATGATAGTCAGAGAGAGAGAGAGAGAGAGACAGAGACACAGGCAGAGGGAGAAGCAGGCTCCATGCATCGGGAGCCCGACGTGGGATTCGATCCCGGGTCACCAGGATCGCGCCCTGGGCCAAAGGCAGGCGCTAAACCGCTGCGCCACCCAGGGATCCCCTGCCTGCGTTTTTTTCTTGACACCACAACTTTCCAGACCAGACCAAACAGGGAATTCATGCCCCTCTGGAGCAGTCTTGAACCGACACACATCCTTCATGGTTGACATTAATCTGAGTAATATATGAACCATCCCTAGTGAGATAAGAGCACATTACCTATGGTACCACTTTGCTTGGCAACACAGCCTTTGTTGTCTGCCTTCAATGACCCTACATCACTACCCACTTTCTTCAGTGTTCCCTTCACTGTTTAGACTATGTGCACTCAAACCTTTGTCTCAGGGACTGCTTCTAGAGGAATCCAAATTGGAACAAAACCAGATTATTTCTCAGCCCACTGGGGGAACTTTAGCCACGGTGAATCAGACTTGTGGGTATAATGTAGGGCAGAACCAAGTGAGTAGATGCTGCTTCTGATGAAACTGCAGTGATTAATGGAGAAAGGAACTGCAGCTACACTCACCTTTCTGTGCTTGGCTTGCTTACATTTTCAACTTTTCTGCTTATCTAATCAGGGCACCTTTATGCACAAAAGCATAGAAAAGTTCCACAATGAAAATTCAGATGACAGAGTGCCCAGAAATTGGAAGCCACGGATATCCTAACATTGTAATTATAATCGGCCATGCTCACTTACTGATCAGCTTTGCTTTTTCATTTGTTAGTTTGCCATTTAAGGCGCCAGTGAATTATTAAAAGATTATATCCTTTTTCAACCATTATGATGATGCTATTTTGTTTCTCTGACTATAGAGAACTAAAATAAAAATTAGATGCAAATCAGTGCAAATTTAGCTTACTTTTTGGAATCTCAAGTACTGAACTGTGAAATGGTTGTGATAAAAGTCTATTTATTCTTTCTGACTCATGGCATCAGGTTGCTGTTTTCAGGAGTAAATATGTTATCTTTCCAAATACAGCTTTGTAACTGGTTTTATTAGACTTTACATAAAGTGTACTGGCTTCCAAAAATAGGTGTGTGTGTGTGTGTGTGTGTGTGTGTGTGTGTGTGTGTGTGTGTGAAAGACTATACTTCCATTGTTGGCCTCTAAGTTTTTCCATTACTTACCAGTGATGGGGTTCAGGTCAGGCTGCCCCAGATTATGCCACTTTGACATATTGACTACTTTGAATTAAAGTTATTTGAGAATAACCAGTACAATGATATTCTGACACTCCTCTCCATCCCCCTGAAAAAAGGAAATAATTCTCCTGTTTGAAAAGTACCTTCCCAGAACCAGAAGATAGAGAGACATTCTTATTACCAGAGAAAGGATAATCAAGGCTGAGAAAGCTATGTAAACAAACTATGCTTAATTTTTTCACTAAATAATACCCAAACCTAGGTTTCTTTGTCTGGTCAGTTCTTCACAAACTTATTATTTCTTTGTCAAGGAGGTATTAAAGATGACTACTTCAGTCCCTTGTTTGAGTCTCATATTTTTATGGGGCACTTGTATATACATAATTAAATATTTCCTTTTCTCCTCTAAATCTGTTAATTTAATTATTAGACAAGGCAAAAGAACCAAAGGAGGTGGTGCAAAATTTTCCCTCCAGACACCATCTTCTTTATAGCACAGGCCAATACACAGTTTAAAGATTAAATTACCATAAAGAATAGTTATTTCCTGTGGAGAGTTACTTCCCTTTTGAATTCAGATGGCAAGTGAGGTTAAGACAAATAAAAAGAAACAAATGTTAGCATATTGAGAGAAACAGTAATCTATTTTCTTGTTTTGGCAAATCATAAGCAAGATACTAATTCAGAAAACTTCATTTGCTTGAAAAAGTCATAAAGATGGTAAATTGGTATTTCCATTGTTTTGTTTTGTTTTGTTGCCTGAAATCCTCATTGGTTAAGGATAGAAACTACTTCATTTCTACAACGGAATGCCATGTACTTTTAAGACAAGTGCTGTCACACTTTTGTGAACTATCAAAGTCAAAATGGAATTATCATGAGAGAAAAAGAAAAACAACCAGATAACTTTAAAGACATTTAGCTACTCTGCTATCCTCTATTAGTGTTTTTATATGCTCAGTGATATAAAGGAAGCAGAAGCATGGAGTCTGGGGTGAAACAAAAAAACAGGCACATTATAATAACAAGGTGAAGAAACAAAGATTCCACTGTCACAGAGAACCTCACATTGCTTAATTTCAATTTAAGGGGTTACTTAAATGCATGGCCTTATGGAAATTTAATGATATGTTATGGTTCATCTGAACTTGTCAGATGGCCCCAAGCTGCGATAATCAACTTTTCAATGTCAGATTCATTTACTCCTCGAAGAATCCTGAAATAGCCATTCTCTCCCCATGAAATTCCCCAGGAATTGGCAGCAATCTGTAGAAAAAAAAATGAGAAAAGCTGAGTAACATAGTTGGATATTTAATCCTGACTGTAAAAACACAAAGGACTTATATGTAGCTTATTATAGACCATAATTAAGAGACTAAATATTTTCTAAATAATAAAACAGTTATGCTATTTATAAATTACATTAATGTGTATGTTTATTCAAGTTCACAGTAACCAGAATTGGTTCAAAACCTCTCGGTTCCCAAGCATGCAATGATAACATATAAGAGAGTTTGTGATACCAAATCAAAAGATGACACACAACCTGCAATTATAGTGTCTCCTATGTGACTTGGCTCTGTGTTAGGAATCAGAGGAACAAAGATAAGTAATATATTATCCTCTGTTCAGGGAGCTTATGGTCTAATGAAGGACAACAACCATAAGCCACAGACTAAGGTAGAACTATGCACAGGGAGCTATTGAAGATAGCTGATGGGCATCTCATTATTTGGGTGGTTCAGGAAAAGTTGTCATGGAAAAAGTGCCACATGAAATGCATATTAAAGTCTGGGAATGGGTAGCCCTGGTGGCGCAGCGGTTTAGTGCCGCCTGCAGCCCGGGGTGTGATCCTGGAGACCCGGGATCGAGTCCCACATCAGGCTTCCTGCATGGAGCCTGCTTCTCCCTCTGCCTGTGTCTCTGCCTCTCTCTCGCTCTCTCTGAATGAATAAATAAATAAATAAATCTTAAAAAAATAAAAAATAAAAAAAAAATAAAGTCTGGGAATAAATTAACCAGATTAAAAGAGGAGAAAAGGAGACTCAGGTGAAGAAAAACAGTAAAAGCATACATAGCAAACCATGGAGCAGCATGAAACACTGAAAGGAAGCAATGAAATTAGTATAATTAGATCATAAAACAGAAGCCGGTTGGTAGGTTATGAGGCTGAAAGGGAGTTAAGGAAATACATACTGAGAAAATAATGGTGAAAATGATGACAAGTTCTTGTGTTGCTTCCAGCAGGAGAGCAGTGTGGACAAATTTATATTTTGATTACATTACTCCATGTGGAACAAGAAGGATGGATTTAAGAGAGTAAACACAAGAGGCAGGGAGACTAGCTGGTAAACTTGAAATAAGTCAGATGTCTTAACAGGGCGGGGAAACTAAGAAGAGAAATAGGGGAAGTATCTGAGGAATATTCAGAAAGTCAAGTCAATAAGAATAAAATATTGTTTCTACTTTTATTTTTAATTTTAAAATATGACGATGATTAGAAAGTTGGACTAGGTCCAGAATGTCCTCTGAGGTTTAGAGCTTAAGTGAATAAGTCTTTGGAGGGAAGGGTGGCAGAAACATTAATGGAGTATATAAGAATATTATAAAGGCCAGAAGGGAGCTAGTTGGCCACAACTAAATGTAACAGAAACAGCCCTGGAGGATATTATACCCAGACATGAAATTGCTGGATCACTGTAGTTCTATTTTTAATTTTCTGAGGAACCTCCATACTTTTTTCCACAGTGGCTGTACCAGTTTGTATCCCCATCAGCAGTGCACTAGGGTTCCCTTTTCTCTATATCTTTGTCAACACTTTTTTTTCTAGTCTTTTTGATACTAGCTATTCTAACAGGTGTGAAGTAATATTTCATTGCAGTTTTGATATGCATTTCGCTGATGGTTAATGATACTGAGTACATTTTCAAGTAATTATTAGCCATTTGTATTATTTTTGGGGAGGTAATGTCGATTCACATCGTTTGGCCATTTTTTAGATTGGATTATGTGTGGTTTTTGCTACTGAGTTGCATGAGTTCCAGTTCGCAAATATCCCGCCCTTCAGCCCCCACCCCCGTGGTTGCCTTTTTATTTTGCTGATTGTTCTGGTAGGCAGAAGTCTTTTAGTGTGGTGCAGTTCCATTTATTGATTTTTGCTTTTGTCTTTGCAACTTCGCTGTCATAGTCAATATCTGCAAAGATCAATGTCAAGGAGATTTTTGTCCTGTTTTCTTCCTCTATCTTTGCAATTTCTGGTCTTACATTTAAGTCTTTAATCCATTTTGACTTATTTTTTTTTGAATGGTGTAGATAGAAATCCAATTCCATTCTCCTGCATGTGGTTAAATAGTTTTCTCAACACCAGTTATTGAAAAGACTATCCATTGCCTCTTCTTGGATCCTTTGTCAAGTATTAGTTGATTATATATAAGTGGGTTTATTTCTAGGCACTGGATCCTGTTCCATTGGTCTATGTGTCTATTTTTATGCCAGTAACATACTGTTTTGACTATTATAACTTCATAATAAAATTTGAAATCAGGAATTATAATGCTTCCAGCTTTGTTCTTTTTCAGGATTACTTTAGCTCCTCAGGATATCTTGTGTTTCCATACAAGTCTTAGGATATTTTTCGTTTTTGTGAAAATTGTCATTGGAATTTTGATAAGGAAGGCACTGAATTTATGAATGGTTTGGGGTAGTATGGACATTTCAACAATATTTTTTCTGATCCATGAACATGGGATATCACTCCATTTATTTGTGTCTTCTTCAATTTCTTTTATCAATTTATTATAATTTTTGGTATACAGATCTTTCACATCCTTACTTAAATCTATGGTAAATATACATATTTTTATTGTATCATAAATGAAATATTTTTTCAAATAGTACACTGTGCATAGAAATGCAGCTGATTAGGGTGCCTGGGTGGTTCAGTCAGTTAAGTATTTGACTTTTTTTTTTAAGATTTTATTTATTCATGAGAGACACACAGATTGAGGCAGAAACACAGGCAGAGGGAGAAGCAGGCTCCATCCCAGGACCCCAGGATCATGCCCTGAGCCAAAGGTAGACACTCCACCACTGAGCCACCCAGGGGGCCCAGTGTCTGACTCTTGATTTTGGCTCAGGTCATGATCTCAGAATCATGAGATCGAACCCCATGTGTGGAGTCTGCTTGGGATACCCCCCAGTACTCCCCCACCCCCGCTCATACAGGCTCCCTCTCTCTCAAAAAGAATGAACAAAAAGAAAGAAAGGAAAGAAAGAAAGAAAGAAAGAAAGAAAGAAAGAAAGAAAGAAAGAAAGAAGAAGGAAAGAAAGAAAGAAGGAAAGAAAGAAAGAAGAAAGAAAGAAGAAAGAAAGAAAGAAGAAAGAAAGAAAGAAAAAGAAAGAAAGAAAGAAAGAAAGAAAGAAAGAAAGAAAGAAAGAAAGAAAGAAAGAAAGAAAGAGGCAATTAATTTGTGTATGTTGATTTTGTACCCTGCCGCTTTATTATTAGGTCTAATGGATTTTTGGTGCAGTCTAGGTTTATATATATATGATTGTATCATGTACAAACAGAGACAGTTTACTTCTTCCATTCTGATTTGGATTCCTTTTGTTTCTTTTTCTTATCTAAGTGCTCTGTCTAGAACTTCCAGTACTATGATGAATGGCAGAGCTAAGAGGGGACACCCTTATTTTATTCCTGATTTTAGAGAAAAACTTTTTATTTTTTTTTTTTGCCATGTTTTTGATTTATTGTGGTGGACTTATTTACATTAACAAAATATTGTAATTATGCTACTTAAAAATAGAATTAAATGCAAGAATTAATTTGAGTCAGATTAAATAATCTACAGCTATGGAACATTATCTGAGTATTCTTTTTTTTTTATAAATTAATTTTTATTGGTGTTCAATTTACCAACATACAGAATAACACCCAGTGCTCATCCCGTCAAGTGTCCCCCTCCGTGCCCGTCACCCATTCACCCCCACCCCCCGCCCTCCTCCCCTTCCACCACCCCTAGTTCGTTTCCCAGAGTTAGGAGTCTTTATGTTCTGTGTCCCTTTCTGATATCTCCCACACATTTCTTCTCCCTTCCCTTATATTCCCCTTCACTATTATTCATATTCCCCAAATGAGTGAGAACATACACTGTTTGTCCTTCTCCGATTGACTTACTTCACTCAGCATAATACCCTCCAGTTCCATCCACGTTGAAGCAAATGGTGGGTATTTGTTGTTTCTAATGGCTGAGTAATATTCCATTGTATACATAAACCACATCTTCTTTATCCATTCATCTTTCGATGGACACCGAGGCTCCTTCCACAGTTTGGCTATTGTGGACATGGCTGCTAGAAACATCGGGGTGCAGGTGCCCCGGCGTTTCATTGCATCTGAATCTTCGGGGTAAATCCCTAGAAAAACTTTTTAATCTTTCACTATTGAATATGATGTCGTATATGTCCATTATTATGCTGAGGTATACTTTTTTTGGGGGGGGGAGAAAAAAACATTTTACTAAAATCCAATGGAAAAATAAATTATAGAAAATGCATACAACATAAAAACATCCACGTTTACAAAGGTGCAGTCTTGATAAACAATCAGCCATAGAGCCAGCACCGAGGTGACCAGTCCTGAATCCCCTCATCTGTGTTGGAGGGGCTGGTCAGCAGAGCTTCCACGGGGTCAGACTCGGTTTCCTGATTCTCAGGGGCTGGTCACATGAGCTGCCATTGCTTGGTCCCAAACTTCTTCTAAGTTTAGTTTTTTAGAGTTTTTAACCACTAAAAGATGTTGAATTTTATCAAATGCTTTGTCTATATTTATTGAGATGATCCTATAATTTTTTATCTTTCATTTTATTAATAAGGGTATCACATTTACTGATTTGCCTATGTTGCCAGGCATAAATCCCTATGATCATGATTATGATCATGTTAATGTACTGCTGGATTCAGTTTGCTGGTATTTTTTTTTAATTTTTGAATCTTTATTAATTAGGGATATTTTCTTTCCTTCTAGCTTCCTTTTCTGGCTTTGGTATCAGGGTAATCCTGGCCTTGTGAAATGAGTTTGGGAGTGTTCCTTCCTCTGCAAATTTTTAAAAAATTTGAGAAGGATTTGGTGTTAATTTTTAAGTGTTTTTATTTAAATTACAGTTAGTTAACATACAGTGTAATATTAGTTTCACTTGTACAATACAGTAATTCAACAATTCCATTGAGCACTTGGTGCTTATCAGAGCAAGTACACTCTTTCATAT